ATGTTTTGCGTCTAGAAGCTTAACGGAATCGGAAATGAGATACGCACGGTGGTGTTTTCGTGTCAATAGTTTCACAACTACATCTATGGAAAGAAGGTAGAAGTTATAACAGACCATAAACCCCTTTTGGTTATGCCAGGGAAATATTTATATCTCGCAGATTGGCTAGTAGTATCTCAAAGAATGCCGGGAAAGAAGTAGAGATTAAAGGTTTAGAAGACATGGTGACACACTATAAACGTAAGCGAAGAAAAGAAAATTTTTATACAGGAAGAAACTTCGAAAGATAGGTATGAAAAGCAGTTATGAGTTATGTAAAGAATGGTTGGCCACCAGATAAATCCAAATTAGAAAGACATATACAATATTTATGGAAGCACAGAATGAGTTTGTTTGTAGAAGACGGTCTGGTATTTTTAGATGACCGTATTTTTATACCGCAATCTCTTCGCGGAATAATACTCACACAACTTCACAGATCTCATTTGGGCACTGAAAAAACTAAAAATAGGGCTGGCCCAAGTAAAACCATTAATTAAATAAGCGTCTATTAATTCATTAACAATAGAAGTGAATTCCTACATAATTGGGGACTCGCCCAGATAAGTACATACTAACGAGCCAACGTTAGTGATAGTGCATTGTGCTTGTAGATGCAGCGTGAAGTGCGTAGAAACTAAAAGCAAAAGCGCATGTGGATTGGGTGTAGTGTTAAAAGTTAAATTTTAAAAGGCTGCTCCGCCGGGTAAAACATAACCTGCAATTTCAAAGTGGTGCTCCGCTGGGCAGAACAAGCGTACCCGAAGAGCAGCGCGTACTCGATAGCGTGTGTAAGTGTGTTTGTGCAAACGATTCGTTTTGCGTCGTTATGCGCAATATTCAAAAGTTTTCAGAGAATGTATGTAAACAAATTCAACAAAACAGTAAAAACAGTAGCTAAATGATGTTGTGCTGAAGAGAAATTTATTGTGAAATGTGATTTAATTTATATATCGAGCCCTAACCGCCAAAATAACGTAAGCGACATTTTTTT